AAAAAAAAAAAAAAAAAAAACCAACAACATATCACTGGTTTTACCAAGTGAAATACTAACTGTACAACGCTGCAGAGACACAGTTGGGTCAGGGGAAAAACAACTTTCATTTCTAGCAGTGGAAACTTCTGAGAAATGTCCATTCCTAGAAATGTTTCCAAGAGAAGAAACAAGAGCGGCATTTAGCCTGTAATTAGCTCCCTTTCCCTGCTCCTTGCACCTTCCCAAAACCAGGTCTGAGAGGAGAGTGAGGATGGGGACAAGTCTATTCCCCAGTCCATCTGCTCCTGGGAGGGCTCTCTTATCCTCATAGGCTTTTAGGATGTTTATACGCATGCTCTAGGAAGAAGGAGGGGGCACTTCAATTAGAGCAGGAATGTTGATACACATGATGCTGCAGTCTGCTGAAGCATGGTAATTACATTCCAGCAGACTCTGGTGACACGCATTTCAGCATCCCTGCACTGAAAAGTGGTGGCAGGGGCACTTTAACTAAAGCCTGTTTGAGCTTTAGTTAATCCACCCCCCACCACCATTTTTCTATGTGGAGACACCAATACATATGATACTCTGGGGGCTTTAATTACAGTACGTCCAAACAGCCTCACTGCACGTGTATAGGCACCCTTAAATTGCTACATGTGCCACCCAGCTGGGCAGCACATGTGGCCTTTGAAGCCAGCAGGGCTGGCAACTGGGACAAGAAAAGCTTCCCTGAGCCAGCTTCCTGCCACTGCCAGCATGGAAGTCACCCTTCCTTCCCCATCACACAGCTGGGCAGCAGGGGTAGCAAGGGGAAGCCAGTGAGGCCAGGAACTAGGCTGAGGGAAAGCCCAGTCCACAGTTAGGGGAAGAGGCAGGGGACAGCAGGTGCTGTTCCCTTTCCCCCCTCCAGACCAGGCCAAGAGGGTAGCATACAGAAATTTATTCTTGGGAGAGTTTCTCTTGCAAGGCAGATCTTCCAGGATGATATCTGCTTGTACTAGAAATACTTGCTCCAATTTTAATATTGTTCAAGCATAAGTGCATTGCTAATTTGTCTATTCATTACTGTAGTGGGCTATGCAGATTGAGAGCATATA